CTTATTTTTACTATGCCCAAAGTAAATGTATTGGCATAAAAATTGTCTTCTTCAGCACAGTTTTGATTTATTCATGCGCTACTAGTATCAACTGGCAAGTTCCTCTTCCAGAGACTTGAAGTGAGAACTACATCAGATTCACTGTTTCTGTCTCCATTGGTTCTAGGGATGAAAAGGTTTCTTATTTCCTTAAGAGGGATAAGGACCACCATCCATGACTGAAGTTTCCATGGTTGCCATGCCTACATTCACTTTCCTTCTTTTCTTGAACAATTTTTGTCGCATCTTTACAACAAGTCATTTCATTCATATCATTTCTTTTTATTTCTTTCATGATCTGGTCATTTCTCGCCCAACATCCTTCACAGTTTTCTCTGAAGACAGTTCAGCTTTTGCAGCAAGTTCAGCTGTCCGTTGTTTCACATAATCCTCATCCTCTGGCCTAATTTTTAGCAACTTTCCTTTCTGTTCATGCACCCACTTTCGGATCTAAAAAAAAGGGGGAAAAAAGAAAAGAAAACTGCTCAGTAGCTTTTATTTCAATGGCTTCACTTTAAGATTTCATCCACAGACTTTTAAGTTACATGTAGAACCATCTTGTACAGAATATAATAATAAACAGTACCACATGAAAGTGCTGCTCACTAGCTTTCATTTAAATGGTCCCACTTTGGGACTTCATTCTCCACACACTTAAAAGTAAGAGCCATCTTGTACAGCAACATAAACAGTACCACAGGAAAGTACTGCTCAGTAGCATTCATTTCAATGGTCACACTAAAGGAGCATATTACCATCTTCACATCATACATTGTGTTCAAACTATATTATCAAATGGCCAAATCCCAGCGTGACTCACACTTAAGGTTTGCATCCAGAGACACAAAAGCGACAACTGCCTTGCAAAGCCTAATAAACTGTACCAGGGGAAAGTACTGATTAATAGCTTTCATTTGAATGATCACAGTTTAGGATATTATCCACTTAAGCGCAAAAGTTAGAGTTATGACCTTGTACTAACAGTACGATGTATGAGAAACAGTACTTCAGGAAAATACTGACCTATAGCATTCATTTGAATGGTTGCACTTAAGGACTTCAGACTTCATCTAAAGGCTTAACCCTTGGATGCAGACACAAATTCATACCCCCACTGTTGTACGGGGGGGGGGGGG